TGCTGCTCCCGTGTTTTTCTGTAGATGAGGATATCGTCCAAGTAGACGATGACGCACCGGTCTAGAAGATCCCGAAACACCCTGTTCATGGTCAGCTGAAAAGTCGAGGATTTACCTGGGGGAGGGGGGCGAGCGCCGCCATCCCACCCTGCCTACCCGCCATCCCACCCTGTCAGTGTTAGGGTTTGGGGTTGGCAAGTAGGGGGTGGCGAGTATGGGGGTGGCATTTCCTCATTCCTCCCTTTGCTCCTCCTCCTCCTTCGTCTCCCACTGCTGCAGCTGTCGCTAAGGGGGGTGGATGTGTGGGAGACTGGGGTTTAGGGTTTAAGGGGGGTGCGTGAGAGTGGGGCTAGGGGTGTAGCAGCGGGTGTGTGTCGGGGAAGTGGGACTGTTTGGGGAAGTTACACGGAGGATGCCGTCGTGTCGCCAGTAGCACCTGAAGTCCGGCAACTTTGTCCGGTAGCCCAGTCGTAGCCAGCTGTGCCAGCCGCCCGTGGGTCCGTTGCTCGTCTGCCGCTACTTTAGCCGCGGGGCCTGTTACTCCTGTATTCCGGGGGCTTCGCCCGGTAGCCGCTGTGCCAGTCTGCCTCCTGTTGCCCGTGTGTCTGCAGCTTCAGCCGTCGCCTCCTATCTCCTCTCCCTTCACTCTCTCTCCTCCTCCTCACTTGCCCGTTGTGACTACCACTAGCTTTGCTCATAATTGTGAACTCTAAACTATTGTTTCTTGAACTTGTGCTCAGAATGTGTGGTGACATTGTGATCCACCCTGAGCTTGTACTGCTTTGCTTGCTCTGCTGATTACACCCCACTTTGGCTATGGGGGTGTGTCAGAATGTTATCTTATGCTCTAGCCTGTAGTGGGGTGCTCTATAGCGAGTACAACCCTTCTAGGGTTTGCTATTTGTATCCCCATTCTTGCTAGTGCAACTCCTCTTCTTTTCTTCTAATTTTGTCACTTAGAGCCTTTGGTGATGAGTCGGTTCTCCTGCAGCCGCTGAAAAACTGCGTCCAGGTCACTGAGGTGCTGCTCCCGTGTTTTGCTGTAGATGAGGATATCGTCCAAGTAGACGATGACGCACCGGTCTAGAAGATCCCGAAACACCCTGTTCATGGTCAGCTGAAAAGTCGAGGGCGTGTTCGTGAGGCCAAAAGGCATCTCCGTGAATTCGTAACTCCCGTATCGTGTGCGAAACGCAATCTTGTGACAATCGTCGGCGAAGATGCGAATTTGATGGTAACCGCCGCGTAAGTCAATCTTCGAGAAGTAGCGAGCGCCACGAAGTTGGTCGAGAAGGTCATCGGTGCGTGGGATTGGGTAGCGAGACTTGATGGTGACCCTGTTCAACGCACGATAGTCGATGCACATGCGAAGTTCGCCGTCTTTCTTCGGGGTGAACAGGATTGGTGCTGCGAAGGGCGAGGTGCTGGCCCGAATGAATCCTTTCTCCAACAGTGCATCGATTTGTCGGCGCAGCTCCTCGATTTCCGGCTGGGTCAACCGCCATTGTGTTCGAACAGTTGGTTGCGCTCCAGGTTCCAGCTGGATTTTGTGGTCCTCAGGTCTCTCCGGTGGCAGTCCAGGTGGCAGGTCGTCGGGGAAGATTTCCGGGTACCTCCGAATCAGCTCCGCTAAATCCGGTGGTACAGCTGCACACAGCTTCTCGATGTCCTTTCCTTCGGTGTCGACTGCCAACTCACGTAAACAAACAGCGAACAGCTGCGCGTTCTGTTGAAGTGGCGGGCTATCGTGATGGCTTTGACACACGGGGCTTGGATGTAGATAGGTGTCCATGCAGGAAGCGTAATTAGCCCCTCGTGCTTGCTGACGCTGCACGTTCCCGTTGTCCAGTCGATGACGGGGTTGTGCCGTCGCAGCCCATCGCGTCCCAGCAGTACATCGCAGCCATCTAGCGTTGTCGCGAGGAACTTCATGGTGAAGCCGAAATCGTCGCCGCATTCGATCCTGACCGTCCGTGTTTCTTCCGTTATCGCCAGAGGCGTCCCATCCACGAGGCGAGCGTCGATTTCGGGCAGACACCTGTCAAGTTGCAGCTTGCATTTTTTTGTGCTCGCCAAATTGAAGAGGCTATGACTGGCCCCTCCATCGACGAAAATTTTCAAGTTATGTTTTAACACCTTACCAGCGACCAGCACAGGGTGATCCACATGATTATCCCCGTTATTCGGCCGAGTGCGATCGATTGTATGAATCGGAACCACGACTCGGTGGGGATGGTGGGGTTCGGGCGACGAAGCACAGTCAGTAAAGGGCCCGCTAATTACTGACTCTTCCCATTTCCATGCTCCTTCCTGTCGTTCCCCGTCAGCGGCGTTTTCTCGTGGCAATCTTTCATGTAGTGACCCCGTCTTCCCACACCGGAAACACAGTCCCTTAGGAGGGCGGTCAGGTGTATGGACGGCGTTGATCGTGGTCCGATAGGTCTGGCCACGAAAACGGTTTCCCTCCCGAGAAGCTGCTCTCGCGTACTGCATCAGCGCATCTGTGGACTCCGCCAACTGTACGGCTGCAAGAAATGTCGTCGGACGGCTCCTGCGAACCTCGTACTGTATCTCGTATTTGAGGCCGCTGATGTATTTATCCAACCGTTCAGCTTCCGACATGTCATCAACCTGGTCGGCGAGGCTCATAAATGACGCCGTGTAGTCTTGGACAGAAGCCATCTGCGACCATGCACGCAGCTTCATGCGAGCTTGCTTCGAGGCGGATATGTGCTCGAAGCGACCTCGCAAGGCTGCGCCCCACTCCTTCCACGTGCGTATCGTGGTCACTCCGAAGATCGATGTTGCCACTTGATTAGTCGCTATAGAGGTCCCGTCTGCCGCATGTGTCACACCTGTCGGGGTCCCTGTTTCCAAGGTTCGGCGCCACCATTCAAGCGCTGCACCTCGAAGAAGTGAAACTGCGTAATTAATGCGCGTAGCGTCGTCATTAACTCCGGCTGCAGTAAAGAAGACTTCGACCCCAAACAGCCACCCTTTTACCGTAACCGTTTTGTCCGTAGGATTAAACGGAGGTGGATTGACGGGCTTGATTTTGATCGTCGTCACTGCTACTGGAGCTGCTGCCGCTCGCTGTCTATCCTCTTCTTCGAAGTCACGTGTGAGCGCATCCAATGGATTGCTCATCGCCTGACTGTTGCCCTCGCCTTCGTCCACAGGCGACTCCTGACGCGCTTCACCTCGCGTCTAGCGCAGTTCGGCGTTTTCCTCTCGTAGGATCGTCACTTCCGCCATTAATGTCTTCATGCTCTCCTGCATTTCTGCCACTTGCGCCATCATCCGGTTAACAGCTTCCTGATCCATGTGCCTAACGCTTCGTCTGGTGGGCAGTCGGGTCTCCGTGGCCTTCAGGCAAATGAAAACACGAACTATCGGAGTCGGGCAGGATTGAAGTAACAATCCCTGCAGCCAACCGTCGTGTAGTCACTAAACCAGCCACACCCTATGCCACCAAACTACCCTCGGAAAAGCGGGGTGAACTAGGAAAGTAGCTCTGATACCAGGTGTTATGAGTTGTAAGAGAGTGCGCAGGTAAACGAATAACGAAGCTGTGACTGAATGAACTGCGAATACAAAGAATGTCCAGACTAATATAGAACTACGCTAGCTATGAGAGAACCTCGGACGAGCGAGGTTGGGTGCAGGTTTGGCGATGAGAAAGCCAAAGGCGACGCGAGGAGCCTCGGCAGCGTTGAAATCGGCCGAACGTGCGAACTCCGAAAATCGGGTTGTACGCGAAGCAGTCAACCCCGATAAGGAATTCGGGAAAATTCCTTACACAAGGAATATGGTATTACAATGACGATCGTGACTAAAAGTACAAGCGCAACAAGAACTAATGCTGGCTGGGATGAGGCATTCGGGTATTATATGTAGTGGGGAATTTTTGTATGGAACCTAGTATTGTTGTTGTGGTTGTTGTTTTTGGTTTTTTGTTTTTGTTTTTTTGCTTTTTGTTTTTTTGCTTTTTTTTTAATTTCAAGAAATTGAAAATGGACATGTGACGTTGATATTAAATGAGGGGGGTAGCAGAAATCGGCCCGAATGGAAAAAATTGTGTGTTGCAGAATTCTGAGAAACATGAAACAGCTTCACAATACAAATATGATTTATGTTAGAGGTTAGCAACACTAGTAAACGCAAGTTTCGAAGTGGAGTATATTGCACCAGCAACCCCGAGGCGCTGTGCTCAGCTTCCGCCGTCAACCACCAACCTTCCCCCTCCCTCTCCCCCCTTTCCCCCCCCCACCTTTGATCCAGCTACAGTACTGTTGCAAATGGGCCACCTCAGCCTGGGACGAGCCGCCGCCGTCTTTTTAGCGAAGCGGCCAGGCTCGTTCCCGAGCTTCCAGAAGTGTAGCCTTGGATGGAGGTTGGGGAGGAGATTGGGTGATAAGATTTCGGGGCAGATTCAAACACCACTAATGCTAGAGGAAAGTGATGCACAATCAGCGGAAAGACGTGCAAGAGACCAGGCTTTTTGTATTCTGATATTTCGGGTAGTTCCGTTTAAATTCGTAAGTGTTTGTGTGCGGTGCGAGACGCTTACCAGGTCAGCTAATATCAGAGACGCTTCTGCTTTGCCCGATGGCTGAATGGCTGTCTTTTCTGGCCGACGGTCTGTAGCCGAGGCGCCACCACGACGCATGTGTCGTCGCGCGAGTCGCAATTTCGTCAACAAATTTGCCCCAAATCTTGCCAACACCGCATTTCACTCCAGGAGAACCCCCCCCTTCAGGAATCTTCTCCCACGCTGGTTTTCACCCAAAGCAGCCATGATTCGCGACGCGATTTCACGAAATGTGGGGAGATCAGCCTTGGTTTACTTCGCGACTATAAATATGCCCCTATTTTCTTCCCAAAACAGCAGCAAATCTTCTAAATATCACACCATTTGACCAGTTTTCCATCAATCGTCTAGATTTCAGCCATCCCCTGCACCCCATCAGTGCAGTCAGATTTTCCCCGTTATTGCCAGCATGAAGACTTTCGTGTTGCTCTCCGGGCTGATTCTTCTGTGCGCACTGCTCGCCATAACCGCGACGCCTGTTGCGGATGCGAACGTAGTTTCCGAGTCTGATCCCGTTCCTGCTTTCGCCGGTAAGTCTCTCGCTGAAATATGTGGGAGGTTGAACCACATACTACTATGTGCGATAGTCTCACATGTGGGGCCAGTGGGACTAGTAAGGTTGAGCCCCATTTCCCCCTTGGTTCAACGAGAGTGTACATAATTCTGGTCGAGTCACGCGCTATGGAGTTTCTGTTTCAATGTACTATAACGAGTCTCTTTATCTGTGAGTGCAGAGCGGCGCTTCCCTGCTCTCATTGGTGGAGACAGGCGCATTCTAACCGACGACGATCATCACGACGACAAACACCACGACGACGACGATGACGACGACGACGACGACGACGACGAGCCGACGTGCATGGAAAAGTACAAGAAGCGCTACGCCAAGTGCGAAAAGAATGAGGACAAATGCGAGGAAAAGGCCAAGCGCGACGACGACAAAAATGAGTGCGAGAAGAAGTCCAAGGGGTGCGAGGTGAAGGCATACAGGAGCTTCAAGGCGTGCAAGTATGGCAAGTGGGACTGCAAGGACTGGTGTGAGTATTACAAACGCCAGTGCTATTCCAAGAAGAGGGGCCACTGTGAGGACAAGTACGACGACTGCAAGGATGACTGCTAGATGCCTGCGTCGTGCACCCAATCACACGCCACTCTTTGCTAAATATGTCCATATTCCGATTCTGAGACACGGATTTTCCGGGAGTTTCTGATTTTCATGGGTAGAAGTGGGCTGTGGATCTGAAGTAGTTTACTAGGGTCGTTCGGTTGGTTGGGAACCAGTAGCTCGGTTCAGCAGAAGGTTGGGTGGTTGGGTTTTAGAATGGGAGATGGGAAGCAGTCACGGGGGAGGGAGCTATGGCGGTCATAGGATGCTTGCTGTAGTGGATGTACCCTTGAATGGTAATAAAATATTGATTTCTCGTGCACTCTTGTGGGAAGCTACCCAAGCCTTTATCCAGGCTAGTTGGCCATCACCGGAACTGCAAGATAGATCACCAGACCATGAACAAGCGGAATGAATGCTACGTTACCATTCCTAGTGGGAAGTCCACCGTAATGGAGATACTGGATGATGTATGTTCGGGTTGTGTTGCTGGTTTGATTGGTAGGTAACCCCTTCCACCACCAGGGCACTGTAGTCCTTGCTTACCGCATGTTTCACTGATTATCACACCAACCACTGCAGCATACAAGTGTTCTGTGTACAATCCAAATGTGCTTTAGGTCAGCATACAAATGATTGCTCAAGTACCGTATGAGTAAGAAGAGGACCTTCCCAGCTACTGAGATCCACATAATCCAGTTACTGTGCTAAATGGGGTGATGCACGAGATGGGACATGATGACGGTAACTGACTCGTGTTTCTGTTTTTTTAACGCATCCTCGTTTCACTTCATATCATCCGCAGCTCGTACTCGCCAGCCATTGTGATGTAACGCACCCACGGCAACGCTTGGTAACCGCTCTTCTCGATGATCTTGAGATAACGCACCTGGATGGATGCAGCGAGTTCCATGAACAAGAAGGAATACCGGTAGGTTACGACAACAGGGATGGGAGGCAGAAACAAGTGTGAAAGATAGAGTGTGACTGGAAAAAAAAAGACATGGTTCAGGAGTATTCACTTGTTATTCTCTGTCACGCGGTGAGTTACGAGAAGACTTAGAGACAACCTGACGGACACTCTGGCTTCTCACCTGGATGCCAGAGACTGTGAAGTAGGGTATCTCGAATTTCACGCGGATCGGAGCTTTCTTCTCTGCCACGTCATCCTCTGCAGCCACACTGGGCAGGCTGAAACGCGCTCGCAGCAGGTACTCCTGAGGTGGAATCGAGGCAAAAAAGTGAAGCCAGGAATGGAGCGGGAGGGGAATAAGGGTACGCAGAGGGGATTGAGTCACCTTCCCCATTTTACTGATGTCACACCAGGCAGGCTGAAGCACGCTCGCAGCAGGTACTCCTGATAGGGGTTGAAGGTAGACAGTGAAGCCCTGGGGTGGGATAACATGGGTGTGCTAGGGTTTGGTAACATGGGAGAGCAGGCTTTGGGGACACCTCTATACCCATCCTCTGCTGCCACACTGGGCAGGCTGAAGTGCGCTCGCAGCAGGTACTCCTGATAGGGGTTGAAGGTAAACAGCGAAGCAGGTACTCCTGATAGGGGTTGAAGGTAAACAGCGAAGCAGGTACTCCTGATAGGGGTTGAAGGTAAACAGCGAAGCAGGTACTCCTGATAGGGGTTGAAGGTAAACAGCGAAGCAGGTACTCCTGATAGGGGTTGAAGGTAAACAGCGAAGCAGGTACTCCTGATAGGGGTTGAAGGTAAACAGCGAAGCAGGTACTCCTGATAGGGGTTGAAGGTAAACAGCGAAGCAGGTACTCCTGATAGGGGTTGAAGGTAAACAGCGAAGCAGGTTGAGTCGAAGCTCAGGGGTGGGAGGAAACACGGGTATAGAAGGGTTTGGTAACTTGGGGAAGCAGGGTATGGTAACTTGGGGAAGCAGGGTTTGGTAACTTGGGGAAGCAGGGTTTGGTAACTTGGGGAAGCAGGGTTTGGTAACTTGGGGAAGCAGGGTTTGGTAACTTGGGGAAGCAGGGTTTGGTAACTTGGGGAAGCAGGGTTTGGGGACACCCCTGCCACGTCATCATCTGCTGCCACACTCAGCAGACTGGAACGGGCTCACAGTACATGCTCCTGAAAAAAAAGCCCAGGGCAGAACGTCGATACGCACAGGTTCTGCACCTTCCCTCCAAAAAAAGACTTGATTTTCTGAAGATTTGCCTCCCACACATACATTCCCCCAGGAAGTGGGACCGAGAGGGCAAGAAGCACCCACCTTTGCCTCCAGGAAACGACTTGATCTTCCAGAGGATGGCCTCCCGCTCGGGCGTGTAGGTGGCGGAGCCCATGGAGGTGCGGGCAGCGCGGTCAATGGAGTGTGTGCCTCGACTCCATCTTGGGAGGCAGGGAAGGCGGGGAAACAGAGAGAAGAGCGAGACAGGGCAGCAGCACCCACCTTACCTCCGGGGAACGACTTGATCTTCCAGAGCATAGCCTCCCTCTCAGGCGTGTAGGTGGCAGAGCCCATGGAGGAGCGGGCGACGGGGTCTGAGATGCAACAAGGCAGCTCACCTTCCCTCTGGGAAAAGACTTGATCTTCCAGAGAATGGCCTCTCGCTCGGGCGTGTAGGTGGCGGGGCCCATGGAGGTGCGGGTGGCGGGGTCAATGGCGTCCATGGGCACCAGCAGCTCTATCTCCACCGCTCCTTGAACTGGCTCACAGCCCTGCCTGCTGCTGCTTGCCCCTGCTCCAGTGCTGGTGTTTACCACCCCTACTGCCGCTCGCCTGCTCCACTGCTGAGTGTGCGCTCTGTGTGCCCACACGTACCTGGGCGTGTATGCTTCCACTCCATCTTGGGAGGCAGGGAGGGGGGAAAACGGAAGAGAGTGCGAGGCAGGGCAGCAGCACCTACCTTGCCTCCGGGGAACGACTTGATCTTCCAGAGGATGGCCTCTCGCTCAGGCGTGTAAGTAGCAGTGCCCATGGAGGTGCGGGCGGCGGGGTCAATGGCGTCCATGGGCACCGGCAGCTCTATCTCCACCGACGTCGCCGTCGACCGCTCCTTGAACTGGCTCCTCGCTTTCACCATGTACTCCACTCGGCTGCGCGAGTGCCGCTCCACCATTGCTTCGACCCAGATCAACGGTTTCACCTGCATGCAGTGTATACAAATACATGGTTTGAGAGACTGAAGAGGCTGTGTGTGGACCGCTCCTTGAACTGGCTCCTCGCTTTCACCATGTACTCCACTCGGCTGCGCGAGTGCCGCTCCACCATTGCTTCGACCCAGATCAACGGTTTCACCTGCATGCAGTGTATACAAATACATGGTTTGAGAGACTGAAGAGGCTGTGTGTGGACCGCTCCTTGAACTGGCTCCTCGCCTTCACCATGTAATCCACTCGGTTGCGCGAGTGCCGCTCCACCATCGCTTCGACCCAAATTAAGAGTTTCGCCTGGTTTGGTAGTGTAACGTGCATGCGGCATACAAAACACATGGGTGCAAAAATGAAGTGCCAGTGTGTCGACCGCTCCTTGAGCTGGCTCCTCGCCTTCACCATGTACTCCAATCGGCTGCGGGAATGCCGCTCCACCAGTTCTTCAACCCAAATAAGGGGCTTCACCTGGTGTGGACGTTTGCGGGATGGGTCTAACCATGCATTGGTGCATGCATGTGTGCATGCTGCATCTACAATACATGAATCCATGGCCCCCATTGCCACGATAGAAAAAGATGTGAGGCACCCACTGGGAGAGAGAAAAGGCAGATGGGAAGGAGAGAATGGTAGAGGAGAAGGAAGGCAGGAGAGGCGAGAGTGGGAAAAAGGGAGAAGCAGGAGAGAGAATATGCAGGTGCTACTGACCTGAGTACGCAGGTGGGATGAAGGAGATGGCTTAACGCGCCTCAGAAAGGGAGAGTGAGGGAATACGCAGGCGCTACTGACCTGAGTGCTGAGCCGGTAGGTCATAAGGTCGAACGCCCCATCAGGTGGGATGAAGGAGATGGTCCGGTCGTTCTCAAACCGAGCTAGACGGACGCACCTGTAGGCAGACGAACAGGAAAGGGCAGGGGTGGGGAAGGACAAGAGCATGGTAGGGTTAAGATTCGCATCAAGAGATGGACACGCCACAAGTGGTGGTAAGGGGAATGAAAGACGGGTGCAGCGCAAGCCCTTGGAACGTATTACAGTCGAAATCAATCGCCTTACCCTTGGTCGCTCTGCCCTGATTTTGAGTCGACTAAAATGAATGAAAGACGGGCGTAGGAGAACTACTCACTGATGGAACTTAATATCGTCCAGATCAATGGCCTTGCCCTTGGTCGCTCTGCCCTGTGCCTCCAGCAGCACTCGGTCGTTCAGCCCTAGCTTGCACTCTGGCATGCCACTGGGAGAGAGGTCGAGGGAAAGAGGGAGCAGGGACACACAAGTTCGATAATTCAGTCCCGAATTGCACTCTGGCAAGCAACCGGGAGGGGACCAAGGTCAAAGGGAATGGGTAAAGGAGAAACAAAGTCATACTCCCTGACCCAACCCTCTCCCACATCCCTCCCTCCCACCACCCCCCCCTTCCCGCACCCCTCTCTACCCCCCTTCCTCGCCCATGTTTTCCCCTTTCTTCCTTCCCCCTCGTGTCTTCACCTGAGGTACGTTCGCATCTTGAGGGCGCCCACGACTTCAGACCGCACCACTTGACCGTTGCTGTTCACCAGGATGTTCACACTCTCAACCACATCCAGGAACACCTGTGAATAAAGATAGAGACATTCAATAAGACACAGAAAGCAAATGATTGGCACGTTCAACAGTCTGCAAATGTCTAGGATGTCCACTCTCAACACACATCCAGGAACACATGCACATAAAAAAACAATTAAACAGTGTGGGGAAAAAGCAAAACAAAAGAGGAACGCCATGAGACAGCGTTCGTGACACCTGGAAGTGTGTGGGGGGCTCTCTCTGGCACCATATGCACCAAAAACTCATGCACGCGCTCACCTCGTTCTTCTTGTACCGGATGCCCTCGCTACGCCAGGAGACGGCGTTGGTGACGGCAGCGATGTTGGGCTTGGGCGTGGACAGCTCCAGGCGGTACGAGTCCGTCTTGATGAACTCGCTCAGAATCTTTGCCTCCGTGAATTGCGGGTATCCGAAATCCATTATCTCGTCCAGTAGCTCGTACTACGCGGGTGGCACAGGGAAGGCGAAAGGGGGAAAGGGGGGAAGGGGAGGACGGGAGGGGTGGGGAGGAGGGGAAGGGTGGGGTGGGAGAGGGGAGGGAGGGGGCGTGAATTGCGGGTATCCGAAATCTATTATCTCGTCCAGGAGCTCGTACTGCGCGATGGTGGCACAGGGAAGGTTAAAGGAAGAACGGGGCAATGGGGAGAAGGGGAGGGACGAGGAGAGGGGGACGGGTGGGTTCCGGAGAGGGACGGGGGGAGTGACTTGCGGGTACCATAATCCATTATTTCGCCCAGTAGCTGGTACTGCACGGTGGTGGCACAGGTTAGCCAAAGGAGTTAGGTGGTAAAAAGGGGTAAGCTGAGGAGCGGGGGAGGGAAGGGGTGGGAAAATTGAGAGCAGAAGAATGGGGAGATGAGGAGGGGAGGGGTGGAGAGCATGGGAGAGTTGGGGTGGGAGACGGGGAGGAATGGTGTCGGGAAGGGGGATGTCAAGGCAATGGGAGTGAAGACCAGCAAGAAGAAGGGATCGGGACATGAGGACGCTTAAAGAAGAGCGGCAGGGAGAACGTGGAAGAGGGGGGAACCACAATAGGCAGAGACTCAGTTGGCTTGCTGTGATGGAAACACTTTCAAGCAACAACACGTACCACAATGACGAAGTTGTCTCTTAGGGACTCCTCTTCCAGCTCGTCGAAGTAGTACTTGAACACCTGTGACGAAAGAAAATACACATGAAGATTCGTAAGCATCATTTCTACCTACCGCCATCCGTCACAGACTTGCGGTCACAACCCTTCTGTATCAATAACGGAAATATTTGTCGTTGATACTAAACACCGCAGTGGATTTGCTCGCAGCTTCCCAGAAACTGATCAGAAAATTCACACAGCCCGAACACGTCAAGCTATGCCAATTCCCATGCTGTTGGCTGCATGCAACCCAAAGATCGATTTCATGCGACTCAATCATCAGGTGCACGAGAACCAGTCATCAGATGCATGTAACTCTAGTCAGACACATGCGACTAAATCGTCAGACGCATGCGATTCGCATCAGCCGTAAGCGATCCAATCATGAGTTACGCGCGAAATATGCGATGAAACCACGAGGTACATATGACCCACCGCAAAGCATACATGAGCCATCATAAGGGACATCCAAACCATCGCAAAGCACACATCAGCCATCAGCAGGCGCATCCGAGCCATGCCCAGGCACACACGAGCCATCATCATTGACATCCGAACCAACACCAGGCATACATGAGCAATTACCGGCACATCCGACCCAACTCAAACCAATCTCTACGACCCACTCACCTCCACGGCTTTGTGAAGGAAGAGCAGTAGGCTGGCCGCGTTGGCGTTTTGCCGGGTGGCGATCATGAGGTACACGTTGTTGTGCTGAATGAAGAGGTACGTCACTCCGTTGTCCAAAATCACTGGCTCTCGCGAGGACGGGTCAGCCTGACGCGACAAGGAGAGCGCGAGCGTGTGAGGATTCGGAACCATCGGTTACGAGGAATCAATGGATAGAGCGTGAAATGACGCAGAGCGGATGTCAACTGGTGAGACGGCAAGCAGAAGCGACCAAACGGTCAGATTTGATTACACACACTGACACTGACGGTGAAATCCAAACAGCATGCTTCCACGACCAGCCAATGTCGCCAGAATAACATGCGGACTACGATCCTAAAATGCATTCCTGGATTCTCTGTTGGAAAATGAGAGCTTGCACGACGCTGCAAACATACACCGAGAGTCCGCCTAAACTTCAGGCATTCTTATGATGTAATGATCCACATCAGGACATGAATATGGTTTGACTTCAATCCTCATCGCGTACCTCGCCTTCCATCAGCTTGTTGAAGAATTTCTCTGCAGCGGATGCAGGAACATCGCCACGGTAATCCCTCCATATCAGGACCCTCCCCTTCATGTCCAGGATGTACACCGCTGACGCCGCGCCCGACATGGCGCCTGCTTCTGTGAAACCTAAGGGAAAATTGGAAAGTAAGGGCAAAGCGAGAATAAGGCCAGATAGTAAGGAGCCTGGTCGAGTCGACGCGAATGGGGGAAAAGAGTCAGAACATTGCTTAATGTGGCTTAGGCAGCTGATGCGACAGTCGCGATGCCTATCGTAACCACAGACCGTTGCGACTTACAAAAATCGACGGTTTTTGCAGCAGTTTAACCCGTATTGAAGCACCAGCGAATGATCTAGAACTAAAATAGTGACCGAGGAACTAGATCTAGGTTGACCAGGAACCCTAAGAAGCTCAAGCTAAGGCCTTGTTTTTCGTAACGACACGCAAGAGGGATGATCCGTCACAACATCCCAGATGTCTGGCTGCAAGAACAGAGTGGGAAACGATTACTACAGGTACGACCTTTCACTGCTAATGGATTAGGGTATCAACTTGCTCCTGAGCCATGGCCAGGCTTCAGGAGGACGAGATCGAGGTAACTGATCCAGAAAATAGGCCAACGGATCAGAAATTCCTTAGAAAATAGGAAAACAACTTGATTGAGCGTCCTAGGGATTGCCTGAATCCTGATCCCCGATGAAATGAGTGTTGCTGCGAGCTCTCTCCTAGAAATTACAGCAGGGAAGGTATGGCTGATGATTCCAAGCCTCCCCTCCTGGAGAAATGCCCACCCACAGATTTCTCGTCTGAGCAACCTACCTGCCTCGATTCACCCACCTTGATTCTCCGATCCAGAGAAAGTCCAAGAGATGGCATTTTCGGCTTTGGCGATGGACCGCTTGGCGAAGTGCGGCGATCCCAGGGGTCTCGTGGTTTGCCTAGCACAAAGAAAGCCAGTAACCATAACGGCTATCTCATGCGTTTTCGCTACTGGTGGAGGAACGAGATGGTGGGAAAATGGACATTTCGGTGGCAGAAGGGCCAATCCCTAGAAACGGCCGGATGCCAAACGAGTGTCGCATAATCGCATTATATCGGGTCCAATGGAATACAGTAAATCCTAGTTACAGCAGCTACACTCCGCACTGGTTTCATTTCAGCCACCAATCCCATCCAATTCCATTCGACCGAGAAGATGTGCCAATCCCTGTCAAACCCATCTCGCCATGTGCCAAAGTCGAATCGCGTAATTTTGGGCTTCCCGCGTCTCCATCACCGAGTGGTGTCAAATGCGGTGCGGTGGGATATGATGGGACAGTAAGCGGATGCGATGGGATGGTATGGGCTGAAAAGGCGTGGGATGGGGTGATATGGGATTGATTACATCTGCGTATCACTCGAATTTTCATCCCACGTATGAACCTTGGAGGTTTGCTTGCCACTGCCATTTCAAGCTCCCCCCCAACCTTGGTCTGCGATGGCTGAACCTTATTATTCTCCCCTTCCCGTTGCCTGGGCTTTCTCTATTCGATACAATCTATGCCGTGCACAGGACTCCGCTGTGTCCTCCTCCTCGCAACACTCGAGGTTGGGATCTTGAAATCTTTGATGTTGTATGTTCATCGCTTACACGCCGATTAGTTGTAGGCTTCTCTTGCTCCTCCATTTGTCACTGTCGTGAAAAGCTACCATGCCGCCAGCTGTCGCCTTCCTGCCTGCCTGGAATCACGACCTGGAACGCTTGCCACCCGATTAAAAAAAGCACTATCGCCGGTCTTGAATTCCGGTAGTGATGCCTCGTCAACTTCTAGATTACAACTTCTCATAAGAACGACTCAATTGGTTTTCCAGGAACTTTTCGTTCGTTGGAATGACCACTGGTAGTGCAACAACCATGGCGATCGAAGCCTGTCTGGAAATGCCTGATGAGACGCAGACAGGCGAAGGATTGGTTGAAAGCGAATGGAGTGCGAGGTGCGGGGATTAGTTATATCAGTACAAACCGGCTCAATCCGTTACAATCGATCACGTGCCAACAAAGCCGCTGTAATCAATGCGGCACTCTTCGCGGCGGCCGATTTCGCCAGCTTGTGTCCGCAGCGGCTTGGACGAACTAGCGATCTGTTCGCTTTTGCGGCTCGACGGGGATCGCATCAATGGCTGGAAACCACGCATCCAGACTGTTAATAGCAATCAGCAGCGAAATCAATCGCGCGTTCGGATTCCTGATCGGAGTGCTTCGCCGCTCTTTGTAAAGGCCTACTCGTTTATAAGGAAGGGCCCAGGGTGAGTGATGGTCATCAGGGCTATCGTGAGTATTAGTCATTGCGATCCGAGCTTTGATACTGGGCTGAGCTACTCTAGGGTGTTACGTGGAGAACTCAAAAGGCCTTAGAGTCTGCCGCTGCTGCTGTCTAACGTTAAGAACGCCTCGTAGCAGAAGGATATAAAAAGAGTCTTCTCATCTTAGCTGTCAGAGAAGAGGCGCCTCTCTTGCCCAGTTCGTGCTGACCGTTACTCCCTGAAGCGATTCTCACCAAAAGCTCGCAGCGACCGTGACCGGGACGCAAGCGGAGAAAGCGTGTCTGATGGCGCACACACGGATCCCGGTCCCTTTCCATCAGCCGCTGCTGGTGTTTCTGTGCTGCCTCGTTATTATCAGCTTCACTGGTACGTCATTGTCGTCTCATGGGGAAATAGTTTGAGCTTGTATGCTTCTGCCTGTCTGTCTGTGCATGTCTGACTCAACACACGAACGACCTCCTTCAGACTGTTTTTTTTACCCGACCTCTATCTACTGCAGTGACCCCTTCCTGCGTCCAATCCCCTACACCCCCCTCACATTTCTCAGCAACACCCTCTTAACAATTCACCATCCTTGTTTGTTGACTCCCCTCGTCTCTCGCTCTCAACCACTTCCCCAACTCCTTCATCCACAGGAATACTCGCAACAGCAGCGCCACCGCCACCACCAGCATCAGCAGCATCGCTTGCATCGCGAGCATCAGCAGCCTCAGCGGCATCAGCAGCTTCTGCAGCGTCGGCAGCATCGGCAGCAGCACGGGCGGCAGCGCCCCGTGCTCCACCTGGTCAGGTGTCTCCGGCATCTGCCGCCCGCCAGGCCGCCACGTCATCATCGCGTTCGCCGTTGCCACTTGCTTCCCCACAAGCGAAGCAGCAACCACTAGTAACACCTGCCCCTGTAACACCTAGACTCCCTGTTACATCCACAACACCTGTTACCCCTAGAGCACCTGTAACACCGGCCACTGTTACGCCTGCCCCAGTTACGCCTAGAACACCTTTAACACCAGCGGCGCCTGTTACAGCAGAAATTGGTGCAGCAGCACGAAGCACTGCAACACCAAGAGCTTCTGTTACGGCAGGAACTCTGGTTACACCTACAGCAGGGCCTCTGGTTACACCTACAGCAGGGCCTCTGGTTACACCTACAGCAGGGCCTCTGGTTACACCTACAGCAGGGCCTCCGGTTACACCTGCGGTTCCTGCTACAACCGGGCCTCTGTCTACACCTGCAGTCAGTCAGCCAGTGAGCAGCCAAGGGGTGAGGAGCACAGTGTCTCTACGAGGGACAATGCCAGCAGCCGTGCCTGCTACCGTGCCTGCAGCCGTGCCTGCAACCGTGCCAGCAGCCGTGCCTGCAACCGTGCCTGCAGCTGTGCCTGCAACCGTGCCTGCAACCGTACCTGCAGCCGTGCCTGCAACCGTACCTGCCACCGTGCCTGCAACCCTACGTGCCACCGTGCCTGCAACCGTGCCTGCAACCGTGCCTGCAACCGTGCCAGCAACCGTGCCTGCAGCCGTACCTGCAACCGTACCTGCCACCGTGCCTGCAATCGTACCTGCCACCGTGCCTGCGACCGTGCCTGCAACCGTGCCTGCAACTGTGCCAGCAACCGTGCCTGCAGCCGTACCTGCAACCGTACCTGCAACCGTGCCTGCAATCGTACCTGCAGCAGTGGCCACTGCAGTCCCTGCATCAGCGCTTGGAACAGTGCCTGCCACCGTGCCTGCATCTGCAGCAGGGGCGAGGGCAGCGGGTGTGTCAGGGCCCTCTGCTGCCAGTAGCATGACTCTAGGGGCCCGCCCTTCGCCTGCTTCTGCAGTGCCTGTCTCAACGCCTGGAGCAGTGGCTGCATCTGCAGAAGGGGCGAGGGCGGGTGTGTCAAGCCCCTCGGCTACCAGTAGCACAGCCCTAGGGACCCGCCCCCCTTCTGCTGCTGTATCTGCCTCAACACCCACTAGGGCCAACCCCCATGCTGCTGCTGTGCCTGTCTCAACACCCATTAGGGCCAACCCCCATGCTGCTGCTGTGCCTGTCTCAACACCCACTCAGGGCCGCCCTTCCTCTGCTGCTGTGCCTGTCTCGACGCCTGCAAGGAGCCTCCCTTTGGCTGTTGCTACTATGCCTATCTCAACACCCACTAGGGCCCGCCCTGCAGCCATGCCTGTCTCGACGCCTGTAAGGGGACTCCCTTCCACTGCTGCTGCTGTGCCTGCATCAACATCCACTAGGGCCCGCCCTGCTGCCACGGGCGATTCGCCAGTTGTCCTCCCTGCGACAACGACTACTCGCAACCTCCCCACCCAAGTGCCCTCCCAGTTACCCTCCCCACCAACTGCCGCTACCAGCAGCAGCAGCAGCAGCAGCGGCGGCGGCAGTGGGGAAGGAGGAGGGGGGCTGGGGGGGATGATGGGTTTTCTGGGCCCTTTGACGTCCACTTTCTCAAGGATGTTTGATGTGAATTGGCTCACAGGCACATTCTTTTCTATTGGCTCTTGGTTCTCCTCCCTGGTGCGTGGGCAGCAGTAGAGAGGAGTGGCACGAGTGGTGAATTGAGACAGTATGGAGGCTGGTGACGTGAATTGGTTCACAGGCACGTTCTTTGTTATTGCCTCTTGGTTCTCCTCCCTGGTGCATGGGCAGTAGTAGTGAGGGGTCATAGGCTGGATTCATTGACTCTGGGTGATGATGTGGCATGATGTACTGTATGTATAATGTTCTAGTAGACTAGTGCTATTATGTCCGAGGCAACCACATGATACATGCATGGTAATAGTGATACTGCCACGCCTTCCATGGTAGAACATACAGTAAGGATACTGGTAGGTACGTACACGAGAATACCAGACATACAGGTTGTGCTTGGTTCTCGCCATCTTCACAGCTCTTCAGGATACCAGATCGGCGCAACAAGCAGTAGCCTAAACGAACCCATATGAACAGGAAGCTATGGAAGACACCAGGCAGAACTTGGTGGTCAGATCATAAGCTAAGGGTGCATTCCGCTGTGGACACATGTCCCAATCGATGTGCACCCTTAAAAATCCAGCTGGTTTAAAGCCAGGGTCTCAAGTAAGCTAAGGAGTCGTCAACTGCAAAGCAGTTGACGCTAGGTTACCTAGTTATTGCCGACGAAGTTTTTTCTGGTTGGGTTATAATCAGCTTGCGACACACCCCAGAAGCGATTGCACAACAATTTTGAGTACCTGAGACTTTCGATGAGTTGGGGGCATTTTAGGTTTGGCTCCGAACCAAGTTTTCAAACCTAGAAGGTTCGGGTACACCCAACGATTTGCGTTCACTTCGCACCCCTCGCTTCTCCCCACTTCAAACCTTTCACCTCGCCAACCAATCGCAGCCCAACTTTCACCAGCAACTGCAAAACACTTGGTTGCTGTGGGGAGACCCTGGCTTAAAACTTTAACGGCAGCCCAAACTTTAAGTACTTGAGACCCTGGCTTTAACTGACAGTCCAGGGTCTAGGGATTGTCAAGGCATTCACCCAGCGGAATTTGCATGCATGACATAGCACACAGAGCTGAGGCTGAAATAATTTCATACCATGGCACGCCAAAAGGGAAGAAACATACGTCCAAAGGTCCTTGCTATCATAGGCCCATTCTATAAAGCTACAACTGCTGTAATGCGTCTGTGTGTGGAGGGGTGCTTACGCTGCGCAGCCAAGACAACGATAGGTAAGACAGGGCGAAGACAGACGTTAAATCCCAGGAACATCATAAGCATCTACCAAGTGAAGACAACTGCTACGTGCATGGAATGGGAACCAAAAGGACAGAATCAGAACATACCAGTAGGCTCCCACAGGATGGTGGTCTCTGCAATCTTGCCCGTGACAATGTATGGGTCCATGTTAGACGATGGCCGCCTGTCCTCGAAGTAACCTGGAAAGGTGAGCAAGACGTGTCAGATGACCAGAGACATTTTGTAAAGCGTGGTTCTAAAGCATGTTCCAGGAGTTTGTTGCTTTTGATCCACGAGATAAATGCGTTCTCAAACGAGGGAGCGCGAATGCAAGGAGAATTTCGACTCACCCTTCTTTTGCGCCTCTGTGTCGCGACCCACACGGACCGAGCAGCCACGGTTGGCCACACCCTGGAGTAAAAGAGGGGCAAGGGCGGGGAAGAAAGGGAGGGGAAGAAGAGACAGAGAAGGATCAGAAAGTAAGCAGACAGAATTGGCTCGTTCATTCCAACTGCTACAGCATGCTCTCATCATGCTACCGACATACGCTAAGGAAAGAGAGAGAAAGGGAAAATAAAGTCGCGTACCCAGGAGAAGGTGTTCATGTCGGCCGTCTCGTGCTTGCCCGTGAGGCGGCGCTCGTTGCCCTCGCCGTACGCCGCGATGTGCTCCTTGTGCTTCAGCCCCAGCTTCTCAATCGCCTTCACGATCAGATCGTACCCGCCCTCCTCGCGCATTGCCTTGGTACTGCACGGGAGAACCCCAACACACGATCACAACGAAACGATTGAACAACCTCGCTTTCAAAAGATTTGCTAGAAACCGGCAGAGAAAGGGAGAGCTGTCTTGGAAAGAGGGGGGAAAGTGTTCGTAGCTTTAGACTAGCAGCAAACCGACCTGTAGTTGGTATGGCAGCCGGCGCCATTCCAGTCGCCCTCGATCGGCTTGGGATCCAGCGAAAGCACCACGTCTGCCATCTCCGTCACTCTCTCCAACAAATACCGCGCCATCCACAGGTGATCGCCCGCCTCGATACCCGTGCAGGGGCCCACCTGGAACTCCCACTGGCCCGGCATCACCTCCGCGTTAATCCCGCTGATGTTAATCCCCGCGTACAGGCACGCCTTGTAATGCGCGTCGACAATGTCGCGACCCCACGCCTTGTCCGCGCCCGTGCCGCAGTAGTACGGCCCTTGCGGAGCGGGGTAGCCGCCGGTGGGCCAGCCGAGGGGCCACTTGACGTCCTTCTTGAGGAGAGTGTATTCCTGCTCCAAGCCGAACCTGCGATGGTGGTTCCGGGACGCCGAGGCAGGGTTGGGCACGGGGGAATGGGACATAAAAACACGAATTGACATAACGTGAAGAGTTAAAGCGAGAGGCATGTGAATCAACAGGAAAAGGCATGGGAGGCACGTGAAAAGACAGGCATCGTGGAAAACGCAGCCCTAGATATTCCAGGGCTTAGAGGTAAAGTAAGTAAGCACGCTTGTTGGGAAGACGAGACGTACCAGGGCTCGTGGTCCTTGACTTTCTCGAACACAGAAGCTGCGAAGGCGCGCTTGTTGCTGGGAATGGGCTCGCCTTGCGGAGTGTAACAATCGCACATGACCTGGTAGTAACGACAGGAAAAGCAACAGCGAAAAGAGGGTATGTTAAATGATTGTACAACTACACGATTCCACTTATGAAAGCGGAGACGCTTAAGAAAATGCGTTGAAGAAAACCTATAGCAAATCGGGACGGCGTGACTGTTCGCATACACAGCGTGTACAGCGCAAGCGATTGGTACAAGCGGTCAATAGTAACGAGCGTGTGTCAGGCCCACGCGATCAATATGTGAGCGCTCGCGTCAAAGCCTACTCATATAGCTTCTCACCAGAATGTTGTCGCCGCCACGAAAGGGATCCTTGAACACGGCTTGAGGGCTGCCAAAAGGTATCACATGAGCACCAAAATCAGATAGTCATGTCGGTATTTTGCATACGTGCCAGAAGGGCAGCATGAATGAGGGATGGTTTAATATTAGCCGATGTATGCCAAAGAAACGGGAGGCCCCTGTAATGAAAGGCGACTGTAACAGGAGGCGGGACTCACTAGAGGATCACTTCGCTGTCTGTGCCCGGAGCCTGTCCCGTGCTGGAACCATCAAAGTTCCACTTGGGAAGCTTCGCGACGTCGCCGGGACCAATGGGACCCTTCACAGTCTGCACGAAGAAACGAAAACGGAATTCGGATGAAATGAAACGAGCTGACCCTTTTTGAAAGCTGATTAGTTTGAGCAACTTAATTGAGCAATAAGATGCTGAACTTCGCGGAGAAGCTTACCCTGGCCTTGCTTCTGACATCAATTCCCGATCCTCCAATCCTGCGGAAAAAAAGATCGACAACGTTCAACGAGTGTCAGATAAAGAAGGCAAACGCTTACATTGGTTTGAGAATTCTCAAGCGTTTGCCTAGGCTCACCAGACGTATTCCGCGATGACTTCGCCAGTTGTGATGGGAATGTTCTTCAGTTGATCAATAGTGGAAGCCATGGCAATGAAACGATTGAAGCGGAGTCAAGCAAGTGAACAGAGAGCAGCCGAACGAGAAGAACGACGAAGCTGAATTTGGAAAACAGGCTTATTAGTGGTGAAAATCTGAACTGTTACTAAGAATGACTGACAATCAGAAAGGCGCAGCGAAATAAATACGACTGGAATTTTCAGGGAGTTCCCAGGAATGAAATCACCAAAGACTTCCGCCACGAATATATCGTGGGATTGGGTAGTCGAGTCGCCCTGAGCGGAGCGCAAACTGGAAGAGGGGAGAGCCAGAAAGCTAAGCGCGCGGATGGGGAGGCAGACATTCATGCTGCGGAAGTCTTCTTCGGGAACTAGCGCAACAGAAAAGGCGGGTCTTCGGAAAAAGTGCATGGACCGCACGGAGGGGACAGATGTTACGGCGGTAAGCTGCTCGCCAAACCTGGCGTCATACAGCTTAGGTGGAGTAACACTATTGGATTATATTCCACGTGGGTAACTTTAATTGCTTCCAATTCCCAAGGTTGCACAAGAATGTAGTCTCTGCACTTCCTGCTGGCAGTGGTGGCGCATTCCCATAAGGCGCGCGGCGGCGACATAAAATGCCTCGCTGGAATGCAAGTGCCTGATGAACGCGGTTCATGCGACTCACTGTAGCTGTAGCAATCGAGATCTATATGCAAGTGACAGAGTCACACAGGTGCAATAGAAAAGCAAGGCACTATCAATGGTGAAAAAAAAAAAAACGACATACATGAGACAAGCTGGAAAACAAATCTTCAGAAGCCTCAGATATGGGGAAAACATGGAAATGCAAATCCTATCAAATGGAAGGTAGCATCTACATGGCATGGTGTGCACCTGACGCAGCTTCAAAATTAGTGTTTAACTGCACCATAGTATGATTCAGCAACTGGAGCTTCAAAAACAAGATTTAGGAGTGAAAGCATCTCACTGCATATTTCAATTTGGCAGAGCTCGGCTGGAGCTCCAATAGCAAGAGTGTGGAGGAATGTAAGCAACACACTCCTAACTTGATACGGCCAAATAAGGAAGTCGACACCACCCTCATTTCGCATAAGGTTTGTCAATCCCTGTTCCACACAAGATGCCATGCCACATACATTTCCAATTTCGATTAGTACAGTGAAGAGACTTCACCTTTAGCGGTTGCAAGTGGATGCAACTCACACCCGATGCACACCGAGTCATGGCACTTGACTGATACAACACAGATTAGACCGTAACAAAATATAACATGCTTGGGACACACAAACAAGTATTTGATGAGTCCGTATAACATACTCTCACCAGTTTTTGATGAGTCCGTCCCAGCCGCACGTGGCCACCTTGCTGGTTTCAAGCAAGTGCCACTTGCACTCGATGCACACCGAGTCGTGGCACTTGACTGTAGCAACAGACATATCCTAGAGTAACAAAGGTCACACACTTTTGACCAATCACTGACCAGTATTTGATGAGCCCATCCCAGCCGCACGTGGCCACCTTGCTGGTCTCCAGGGGGTGCCATTCACACCCGATGCACACTGAGTCGTGGCACTTGACTGTGCGGAACACCTTGCATGTCTTCCAGTCCCAAAACCACAGCTTGCCCTCTCCGTCCCCTGACATTATGAACCGGCCATCGGGGGAAAAGTTCACCTGGTGGTGTGGGGGAAAATGGGAGGCGAGCACCAACAGGAGAACGGGGGAGGGAAGGGGATGGGGGAGGGAGGGGCAAGGGCGTAGGTGTTGGCGTTCCTGAAAACCATTGGTGGCGCTGCTGACAGGCATAAGAGCCACTCGCACCCGATGCACACCGAGTCATGGCACTTGACTGTGCAGAACACCTTGCATGTCTTCCAGTCCAAAAACCACAGCTTGCCCTCTCCGTCGCCCGACATGATGAACCGGCCGTCCGGGGAGAAGTTCACCTGGTGGCGTGTGGGGGTGCGGTGGGGGGGTTGGGGTTAGGGTGGGTGGGGTTGTGCATGAAAGGAATGAGCCATTCAGAACCACAGCTTGCCCTCTCCGTCGCCCGACATTATGAACCGGCTGTCCGGGGAGAAGTTCACCTGGTGGCGTGTGGGGGTGCGGTGGGGGGGTTGGGGTTAGGGTGGGTGTGGGTGCGGCGCTCAGAGGTGACTTTTCTGTGGGTGGTTCTGACTCAAAAGTCACTTTGTGGGTGCGGCGCTCAGAACCACAGCTTGCCCTCTCCATCCCCCGACATTATGAACCGGCTGTCGCGAGAGAAATTCACCAGGTGGCGTGTGAGAGAGTGGGGGTAACAGGTGGGGGTTGGATGGAAGAGAGTGACAAATAACCACACAAAGCCACAGCTTGCCATCGCCGTCGCCTCAAAAGACATTATGAATCGAGCATCTGGAGAAAACTTTTGAGGCGCCTCAAAAGACATTATGAATCGAGCATCTGGAGAAAAGCTGACCTGGTCACGGGGGGGTGAGGATGCACCAAACCAAACAAGCCATCATTGCTCCACCAGCCTGCCCCCACGAGCCGGCCCCCACGAGCCGGCCCCCACGAGCCTGCCCCCACCAGCCGGCCCCCACGAGCCGGCCCCCACGAGCCGGCCCCCACGAGCCTGCCCCCACGAGCCTGCCCCCACGAGCCTGCCCCCACGAGCCTGCCCCCACGAGCCTGCCCCCACGAGCCTGCCCCCACGAGCCGGCCCCCACAACCCACCTGGCATGCATATCCTGTAATGCTGTGGCCTGCAAACCGCCTCTTGCAGTTCAGCCGGAACCGGCCCTTAGCACCATATACAATGATCGAGCTGTCCAACCATTGAGCTTCCACTGTCCCCAAGCCTATCCCCCTATGAATCTTCCTCCAATGCCTGTCCCCCCAATGCCCGCTCTACTCTACCCACCTGGCAGGCGTATCCCGCAATGATGTGGCCTGCGAACCCGCTTCTTCCTGTTCAGCCGGAACCTGTCCTTAGCACCATACACGATGATTTGGTTGTCCAGGGATTGAGCTGCCTGCCAGCCCACCCCATCGCCCCCTATGTCTGTGTCCCCCCGAGCCCTATACCAGAGCCCTGCAAGGCCCCCTCCCCACCTGGCCAATCTCCTCTTCACACCACCCACCTGGCAGGCGTATCCTGCAATGATGTGGCCTGCGAAACGCTTCTTCCTGTTGAGCCGGAACCGGTCCTTAGCACCGTATACGATGATCTGGTTGTCCAGGGATTGAGCTGCCACCCACGCCTTGTTGGGATGCACTGCTATGGCTGGCATAGAGTGCATGTGCGGCTCACTGGTGTGGGGGGGAAGGGAGTAGAGAGGGAGAGGAAGGGGCGTGCAAGGGGGAAGGATGAAAAGACAGTCCTTGGCTTCACACATGCATGCTGCCACCCATGCCTTGTTGGGATACTGCTATGGCTGGCATGGAGTGCATGTGTGGTTCGCTGGTGTGAGGGAGAGGGCAAGCAAGCAGAAGGGGAAAGCAGAGGGGGGGATGAGAAGGATGGGCCTTTGGCTCTTCATATATGCTGCCACCCATGCCTTGTTGGGATGCACTACTATGGCTGGCATGGAGTGCATGTGCGGCTCACTGATGTAAGGGGGGGGGAGGGAGGAGGCAGAGGAGCGAGCAGAGGGAAATCAGCGGGGAAAAAGGAAATGACTTCTGAGTCGCAACAGCAGATTTTTGAGTCGCAACAGCAGACTTTTGAGTCGCAACAGCAGACTTTTGAGTCGACTCAAAAGGAGGGACAGGGGACGACAGGGGCGGGTTGGCTTTTGAGTCGACTCAAAAGGAGCGAGCAGAGGGAAATCAGATGGAAGAAAAAGGGAAAGAGAGGTGCGGTGGAATGAGAAGGGATGAGAAGCGGGAAAACAGGATCTGGACGGGCAACAAGGAAAGCAGAGGAGCAGAGAAGGTTGTCTGATATACTTGACGACAAGAGGAGGTGACTTTTGAGTCGACTCAAAAGGCAACAAGGAAAGCAGAGGAGCAGAGAAGGTTATCTGAAATACTTGACGACAAGAGGAATCCCACGTGCATTTTGAGGCGCCTCAAAATGCACCTCACTAAACGAGGAAAGCAGTGCAGAGAAGGTTATCTGAAATACTTGACGACAAGAGGAATCCCACATCCCACACACGCAGGGGCTTGTCAGAATGACATTGAAGTTGATTCAAAAGAGGGGACAAAGCGAAGAGCAGAGCAGGGCAGAGAAGAAAGGAAGTAGTGTATTGCTTACCTGATATACTTGACGACAACGGGAATACCAAACTCCCACACGCGCAACGATTTGTCGTCGCTGCTCGTTACAAACCGCCTGTTGTCATCCAGAAACGTAATCGTATTGACTGCACCCAAATGTTGGTCATATTCCTGGGTAATTTCCCCTGACCGCGTGTCCCACTGCATGATCTTCTTGTCGCTCATCCCCGCCAGCAGAATGTTCTGCTTGTCGTCGTCGGGGTGTAATTTCACCACGTAGGGTATTTTACCCGTGGAAAACGTCCCCGTGACCTGCCCGGTCTCGGTGTCCCAGAGCTTGATGTTACGGTCGTAACCGCACGAGACGAATTTCAGCCCGTCGTTCGCAAAGCAAATGTCTCGAACGGCCTTGGAGTGACCCATGTAGGTGCGCATGCACTTCTGCGTGTTGGGCACGTCCCAGATCTTGATCTTGGTGTCCATTGATGCAGACAGCAGTAGATGGCCGTACCTGGTGGGACAGACAGAGGAGGAAGCGAAGGGAAGAGAAGGGAAGAGTGGGGAAGAGAGGGGAAGAGTGGAGAAGAGGGGGGAGAAGAGGACAAGAGGGGGGAAGAGAGAAAAAAAAGGGGAGAGTGAGGAGAAGAGGCGAAGAGAGGAGGAGAAAATGTCTCGAACGGCCTTGGAGTGACCCATGTAGGTGCACATGCACTTCTGCATGTTGGGCACGTCCCAGATCTTGATCTTGGTGTCCATTGATGCAGACAGCAGTAGATGGCCGTACCTGGTGGGACAGAGGAGGAAGAGAGGGGAGAATACGGAGGGGAAGAGAGAAAAAAGGGGAGAGAGGGGAGAAGAGCGGGGGGAGAGGAGAGGGAAAAGGGGAGAGTAATGAGAAGAGGCAAGGAGAGGAGGAGCAAAGGTCGCGCACGGCATGGCCTTGGAGTGACCCATGTAGGTGCGAATGCACTTCTGCATGTTGGGCACGTCCCAGATCTTGATCTTGGTGTCCATTGATGCAGACAGCAGCAGATGGCCGTACTTAGGGAAGAACCGGATGGCAATGACACCCTTGGTATGCCCGCTCCACGTGTGAATCCGCCTGAAAGGCGCCTTTGGGTTACAGAACTCACTTCAAGTCCGGAATGTTTTGAGACGTCTCAAAACACTCCTTCTTTCACGTGGATCCGCCTGAAAGGCGTCTTTGGGTTACAGAACTCACTTCAAGTCCGGAACCTCAGCACCTATGATACTCACTTGGGGAAGAACCGGATAGCACTGACGCCCTTAGTATGCCCGCTCCACGTGTGAATCCACCGCTTCGGAATATAGCAATGCGTGGGCGGCACGGGATTAAGGGCGTCTTTAGGCGGTGCAATCCACGAGCGACCCTGATAGTCCTTCTCCTGCTTCCCATGGAACGTGCTCTTTTCTTCCACCTCCTCCTTGTCTCCTCTCTCCTTCTTGGCTTTTTTCAAAGCGTGCTCCTCCGCGTATTTTTTTTGCTCCTCGGTCAGCTCAGCCTTGGGTTCCTCTTTTTTGCCTGCCCAGGGGGATTTGGAGCTTTTGAGGAGCCATGATTCTGACGCCGGATTGGCTAGTTCCGCTTCTGGAGCCTCCTCTTCCTCCTCCTCCTCTTCTTCACTCTCTTCTTCCTCCTCCTCCTCTTCTTCGCTCTCTTCCTCCTCTTCCTCCTCCTCACTCTCCTCTTCTTCCTCTTCTGCCTCCTCCTCTTCTCTCTCCTCCTCCCTGCTCTTCTTTGCCCTTTCCTCACCCTCCTCCTCTTTAACACCCTTCCCTTGCCGCCCTCGCTTCTTCCCCTCCCCTTCCCCCTCCCCCTCCCCCTCTCCTCCTGCTCCCTCCTCCCCTTCCGCTCCCACCTCCGCCCCCACATCACCTTCCCCCTTCCGCTTCTTCTTTGCAGCCTTTCTCGCTTTCTCTTCCTCCTTCTTCCTCTTCCTCTCTTCCTTCTTCGCTCTCTCCTCCTCCTTCCTCCTCTTCTTCTCTTCCTTCCTCTTCCTCTCCTCCTCCTTCCTCTGCTTCTCCTCCGCCTTTTTCCTCCTCTCCTCCTCTTTCACCGCCATAGCCCGCTTTTCCCGCTCCTGTTTAGACACATTGTACACTGTAGCACCCGCCTTAGTGTCAACCGCTTCTTTATCACCCACGACCTCGGTCCCGTTTACACTTGCGGGGTCAACACTGTAGCCGTACGCCTGAAACGTGTGGTACTGTTCATCGAAGACAAAAGAGTCCACCGACGCGTCTTGGACGGATCCCAGCCGGTGGTTTCGCAACCCTAACGCGCGGCCGTCCGCGTTATGAGGATGCGCGGGTCCCACTACAGGAGTCCACAGTTGATCGTAAGTTGGATTAAATTGTAAATTCCGCTTCGACGGGTCGATGGGAGCTGTCATAATATCGCGTGGTACAGCAGCGAGTAAAGCGTCGCTCACTGGCGGAGCGGCCGAACTAGGGGGAGCGAGAAACCTGTACGCCATATTGTCATCGTCGCTATCGTTATCGTCGTTTTCCTGAGCAATTCGTGACGCTGACTTGCTTGCAGTAACCCCAGCAGAACCGGTTAGGGTTGCACCAGTATTGGTACCAAAAGCCTGCTTTTCCCGAGGCGGAGAAGCTGTTATCGTAGATTTCTCTCGCGGAGAATCCTCCCCTCCCTCCTCGTCACTCCCGTACTGACGCGATAGAATATCCATGGCTGAAATCGAGCAGGATTTTCAAACCTAAATTGCAAATCAAGCAGGACTTAAAATCCAGCTGCGCGGTTGGAACCTAATTTTGCACGAGAGAAGACACCAGTCCAGGCAAACACGTGCGAATAAATCAGCCACAAACGCTGACAACAATCAACTACCAGTAGCACCTGGTGTGCGCTAGGTTGGGTACAGCGGCCATGAATGAAGAAAAAGAATCGAAGCCAGCAAAAGAAAAGCGTGACCCAAAACTCATTCCCGAAATCTTCCCAATAAGCAGGTCTTGTATAGATTTGAGGTATACGCATTAGTGTAAGAGAAACAGCTCCATAAGTAGCACTATGACAAGTGCTGAATGCTCAGCAGCAACAAAAGCATTAGCCATGAAAAATATATGCAGACATAAATAAAATATTCTAAACAAGAATTGAAAACAACGTTGGAGTTTTAGGTCATCATCATAACAATCGAAAATATACAGTGGGCTCAGACACCCATTTCCTTTCCTTTTTTTAGTTCTACCATAGGATGTTATTCAGCAACACCCGAAAAGCGTCTCGACGTCCCCCGAACCCCTCAACGCTCATCTTTCATTGCACCTCTACCCTCACTAACTCCTACGTCCACCCACCTCTTTCATTTCACAACAGGCAGTTGTCTGAGCCTCCTTGTTCGGCCATATAAACCATTCATCAGAACCGCTCTATTGATTACCCTGCCTAACATTCGATTCGTCTACCTAGCTTCCAACACTCCCACACATCCCTCCGGAGCGGTACTACTTTTCGTTGGCAGCTATGGCTGCTGGAATGTGCAGCCTTTCATCTGACATTGTAAGCTGGAAACGATGTGGAACAAGTCCACTGATACCATTAAACAGTCTATTGGAAATTGTGATGCGCCGTATTTTCCCCTGTCGCTCGGGTTTGTTTTGATTGGCGATGGGGGCCCCCATACGGCGGACACTGAGGCAGAGCGAATTTGAGTCGTTGGCCGAGGGTTTATCCTGCTGAAAGCCCGCGAATAATCGTTCCCCACATGCAGATGCCGATTGTGCTCACATTTAGGCCTTGTTTATCTTAAGCGTTTTCGTACACCAAAGCTTTCGTAACGGTGGCCCCTGATTTAATCTGCCATTTCTAACAGACCCACTCCTTTTTCCTGTTGGTGGCTGGAGCAGATGATGAAGTATAAGTTTTGCATCTACCCTGCAATCGGTTACGAATCAGAAGCAAATGTTCAACGTGATTACCAAGAAAGCGCTTTCCCTCATTTGGTACGTATACGGGTACATTTGACTCGTTTCTAGAGACAGGAACTTTCATTGACGAGTCCCATTGTGCTGATTACTGGAGGAGGCGGTGATGATATCTATAGATCACAATCCTTATTGTCTGAGCGCAAAGCTGATGGCGGAATCTAAGGGTCTGAGCCTCCTCCCTGATTCATTACAGCATCGTCGTCGTTCTCTCCACGCCACGATTGTTTTTTTCTGAAGTTCACCTGTCACACCTCTGCCGGTCCACAGTGATGACTCGATATATACCCAGCTCGCTTCGAGCTGCTAAGCAGCGCTGAAGAAAATTATTCGTTTCCAACTCACGTAATTTTGTCTGAGTGGACCTCACCATCATTCTTTCTGTGACATCCATTTACAAATGTTTGTCAGTGGTGGAGATCATGCAATATTCCATCCGCCCTTTGCTTACAAAAAAGGTTCGGTCACGTAATTGCAACAGAAATGTTTCGGTGGTGGCCGGGGCTTGCTAGCCCTGCCGATCGTTCGGTTGGGCCGGATCGTTCCCATTGGGGTTTGCTGCCCTCGTTTGGAGGAGGCGACGTGTTGTCGGCCACTCTCGACATTTGTTCTTTTTATCAATTAATCCGTCTTTTATTCCTGCCTTGGTTCGTGCAGATGGTGTTGCACCCTGATTCATGTGGGCGTTCGTGCTCCCGCGCAACGTTGGTTCTTCAACAGTGGAAGCATGCACGCTAAGTCTATGGCTATGACGGCACTGACGAGTCGTCGTTTCGGTGACTCACGGAAGAAGATGACAGAGCTTTAAGGTGCGCTTCAGTGCTGATATTTTTTTCTCACTGCTCTGGGTGATTCTCAACCGTTCGAATTACTCGCAGCGATATGAGGAGATTCTTTTTCTCGCGTTGAGCCACTTTGTGGCCGTGATGCTTCAACGCATCTAACGTCTTCAAAGTTCTCTGATCGCTGCTTCTCTTCAACCTAAACTGTACACGCGGCCCTGATTCCATCGTTTATTTAAGCTTCAATAAAAGTTGGTCGCGAGTGTTTTCAGTCGCCTGTCGACCCGTTCCCTGAAGCGAGAACGGCGGGTCTTGGGGGGAGTTCGAAGGCCCTCTTAGGCGTAACCACCGCTCGTGGCTCGCTATCCTGCCGCAGCCCTTGTCTGCTGGCTGGACGATTGCTTACGGGACATGACCCTTACTGGTTCACGAATATGGTTACCACCTTTCGTCTGGTGTATAATTTCTGTATCTTCCCTTGCCTTCTTTCCCTATTCATTGACAGACTCAAAATTTTACTGGAACTGCGAATCATTATGAGCTTCCCAGATACGTCACGTCGTTGGCCAGGATCTGCGCTTGATTGCCGCTATTTACAAGGTGCGTCTCAATTTGTTCTATTGTTGTGGAAATTTTTATTACCGTTGCCATGAACGATCTCCGATGCCCTCATTGAGGATATTGTGCTAAGGGATCCCCACGTGGCACACATTACTGCCGTAGAAGCTGGCGAGGTTTAGCTGCTGGTCGGAGTGGATGCATCCCCAGTGGGTGTACCCTCGAGGATTCACTGGCTGACTACCTCTCTACAATCACCATTAGTTGCAGGCTCAGTTGTGATTGGTCACGTATCTGTGATTGGTACATGACTTAGACGTCCTCATCTCCTCTGGTTCTTGCTTGCAGGCTCTTGGCTCATGATGCGGGGTATGTGACTCCGTGTGGTGTGGCGTCACGGGGTGGAATCTCTGCCTTGTCTATTCAAACAGGCGATAAACACATACATAACGAGCAATCCGCCAGTGTTGTATTAAAACGACATTCCAATGGAAGTTCAAATCCCTTGTGGACAGGTATTACAAGCTTGTTCTGCTTCTTGGTTGTATTGTACACTTCTGTGGAAATAAAAGATAAACAAGTCAGGCACAAATAATTAAGATTCTTGGTGCAATACTGATCACTTTGGACAAACACTCGTTTCAGAACGGCAGACAGAAATACAAGCAGAGAGAAAAGTGTTCCTGATCCTTACAGGACATATGGTTGTGGTACGGTACAGCTTTCAGTACGAGAAACAAGTATCAACTCCCAGCTGTACTGTCCTCCTCACCACTCGCCAGTGTTGAGAGCAACGTACCCCGCATGCACCCGCCCATTCGTGTCCCTCAAATTGTTAATCAGTCGGTTCCAGTTCGATCCTAGCGGCCCAACAAAGAAATCACACTCGGAAGCGATGAGCAGATTCGCTAAGCTGACCCCCACCAGCTGCTCCAGCCCCGCTGCTCTCTCATATTCTAGCATCTGCGTTGATCCGAGCTGGCGCTTGTTCTTACTGTACATGAAAGTCCAATCGCTGTAGCTGTCTAACTCGTCAATTACTGACTGTGAGGAGCAAGGGAGGGAGGGATGAGTGTGAGTGGAGGGAAGGGCAACAGATAGGGAAAACATCAGGATAGGGCAGGAGGGGGAACTGATGTAAGAAGAGAACAGCAGAGGGGCGGCTAGAAAGCTCATCCCCACCAGCTGCGCCCGCCCTCCTGTCTTCTCATACTCGAGCATCTGTGTGCATGGCTGAGACTTGAGTAGGATTTCCCCTCGGGTATGAGGAGACCCCCGAGGGGAAGTCTTTTGAGGCGCCTCAAAAGGATTTCCCCTCGAGTATGAGGAGACACCCGAGGGGAAGTCTTTTGAGGCGCCTCAAAAGGATTTCCCCTCGGGTATGAGGAGACACCCGAGGGGAAGTCCTAGAGGGTACACTCACCTGCATCTCAGTGCTGAGCCCCACATAATGAACGTCCGGCACTCGGAGTCTCAGTCGTTGCACGTGCAGCATGTACGCCCTGAAACTGCTCATACCTGCGTGCACCTTTTTGTACCGCTCATCCACGCTCTCTCCCCCCTCACCTGCATCTCTGTGCTGAGCCACACATAATGAACGTCCGGCACCCTGAGTCTCAGCCGTTGCACGTGCAGTATGTACGCTCGGAACGAGCTTAGACGCATCTCCTTTTCCTTGTCCCCCTGCCTCACATGCACGCTCACCACCGGCCGTGGCATATACACCTCCCCGCCCACTCGCCTGTACACCTGCTCCTCCTCCTCCCCCTCTTCTC